ACACAGGATTTACTGAAATCATTATAACGATGAACAGTGCGTGAGTGAAGACGTTGCCCTTGCTGTGTGGCTCGCCCTCTTCACAGCTTTGGTTAGCTCTGTCTGTGCATCTGTCCTCATTCTCAGGTAGGCGTCTGTCCCTTTGTGCACAGCTCACCTGTCACTCGCTACCCCGGCTCTCCTCTCCCCCTGCAGGACTCAAGTCTCAACCTCTGTGAAACTTCCGTTGAGGTTCCAGATGTGAAAGTATCAGGGATCAGAACATGGTGTCACAAGTATGTGTCTTTGGGAGGCTGAGGACTTTGAAGTAAGAGTTGGAAGAGGACTCAGACACGTCAGCTCTGTAACCAGGCCTTACCCACTTATCTCCTGATCCCCTTCCTCCCTCAAAGCTATTCTTGTAAACCAGAAGTCATCTTCTTAAAGGTGAGTGACACAGAGTAAAACTTCTGTCACCAAAACAATCCATCAAACCTGGAGGAGCATTTGGCCTTCTACCACCTTTTCTATGTCCGCGCTGCTCACAGAGAGGTTCCGCGTCCTCACGTCTGTGAAAGGGTCATCTTGGAGGCTTCTGATCTGTAACAGAGGGAGGACGCTCTCCACGGAGGGAGAAGGAGAACCGGAAAGGGAGGGAGCGCGAGGCCGTCCTCCCTTGATGGACTGCCATCGTCAGCCCCTCTGCCCTGAGGAGTCCACAGGGCAGCCCATCCCTACTGCAGCATTAAGACAGCATCAGGACTTACCTGCCGTTGGTTCTGTTTCTGCTGTTGCAAATGTCTTGTGAGTCTTTTTTAACTTTTGGAGCAAATCATTAACACAGAATTAGACATTCCGGTATGTTGCTGTGTACATATGACCTTGTTTTCATTACTCTTGTCCCGTATTGCACTCCTGTCTACTACCTCCCTTATTCCCAGATTGCCTTCCCCACATCAAGAAATCAATCCCCTAGATTGTTTTCTTCTTCTTTTTCTTCCTCCCTCTTTTCTCTCTCAGTCTTTCCTCCCCTAAATTGCTCAAAGGAGAATAGACATGCGATATGTAAGCTTGTGAAATGACTTGTTTTGTTAATACTGTGGTGTCCAGCTCAATCTTTTTGCCTGACATTACACTGTTCTTCATGTCTAAAATACATGTGGTAGATTTTCTTATCTATTCTGGCTATGGTCTCTTCAGTTCATTCATTTTTCTGTGCAGAATATTTTATTTTGACCCAGTCCCATTTGTTTGAATCTTGACATGATTTTCTGAGTCATCGGGTCCCATTCAGGGAGGCTTTTCATGTGTCCGTGGCTTCATGTATTTCTTCTGTACTTTCCCTCAACAATTCAAAGTGTTCAGATCTGCCCCCCACCTCCCTCTGTAATCTTTGATCTGTTTTGCTTTGATCACAGGGAAATTGATAGGAATCTATTTTCAATCTCTAGACATCCAGTATTTCCAGCCTCGTTTACTAAAGAAGCTGTGAGTTTTTCATCCTTCACTTTCGTTCCCTCTCTCAGGATCAGATGGCTACAGCTGCCTGCACTGGTGCCTGTGGTTCCCATTCTGAACCACCGACATGCACGACTGTTCTGACTGAATACAGCAGAGTTTTGCTTCTCTGGTTTCTCAGTGTAATTAGAGATCAGCTAGGGTGACTCCCCCAGTGTTGCTCATTTGGCTCAGCCAAGCTGGAGGTTTCCCAGGTCTTTGGTGCTTCCGTATGAATTTATGATTGTTTTTTCTACTTTTGTGGAGAATTTTGTTGATATTGTCATAGGGATCACAATGAATTCCAGATCATTTAGGTAAGATAGCCACTTTATTGATGTGATTTCTATCTACCCGTGAACTAATGTCTTTTCAGATAGGAGAATCATATTAAATTCTTTCCATAGTTATGTTTTTAGAGGTCTGAATCTTTCCCAGTTGGGTCACTCCCTAAGTACTTTTCTTTGTATTTTGAAGCTGTTGTGAATAGCACTGTTTTCTGAATTCCTTCAGCAGCAGGATCACTGTTGGTGTAGAAGAAAGCTATGGATGATTGTGTTTTGCATTTACATCCTACAATTTTCCTGAATTTATTTTCATCAGATCTCAAGGTCTTCTGCTGGAACTTTAGTGTCTTCTGTATAAAGGGTTCTAGGTCTGGTAGGCAGGGATAATCTGTCCTCTTCCTTTCCTGCCTGTAGCCTTCTTATTTCTTTCCTTTCCCTAATTATCCTGGTGAAGTTCCAGTCCTAGTCTCACAGTGGCATTGGGAGAGGGCACCTTGTCTCCTACCCGACATCAGAGGAACCGATTTCAGTCGTCCCCGTGTTGTGAGATGTGAGCTTTGCTCAATTTAAGGAGAAGTTCTTCTGTCCTCTTTTACTTCAGGTTATTTTTTCTCATTAAGAGATGTTAAAGTTTGTGAAGGCTTTTTTATGTCTATAAGGAAGATTGTGTGGCTTCAGACCTTGCTTCTCTGTATGTGATGTAACGTATTTATTCATTCCGTGTGCTGAACCATTCCTACATCATTGTGATGAAAACACCTTGGTCAGACTGCATCATCTTTTCAGTGTGTTGGGCAGTCTGTTATTTAACTTCCAGGTGTTTGTAAAATTTCTGTGGTTTCTTTTGCTTTTATTCTAATTTCAGTGCACAATGTTCTGCTAATAACAATGAGATGACTTTGATTCTTTCGCATTTATTTGAGTAGGCTTTATGAAGCTGTATGTGTTTTATTGTGGAGAAGCTCCATGCACCCTGACAGTAATGTGTATTCTGCTGTGGTGCTGTGGAGCACTGTCCATATGACTGTAGAGTCCACTTGTTCCAATGTGTGTGTCAGCTCTGACGCATCTCTTTACAGTTTTTCAGTTGATCCATTTGTGAAAGTGGAGCACTGAGTCTGCCACTGTGGCTCTGTTTATTTTTCTTTCTTTTATGTCCAGTTGTGTTTGCATGTTTGTTTCTTTGACGAAGTTTGGTGCACCAATGTTTATATACGTATATAAGTATAAAAACAATTCCATTATTTTCTGTTATCCATTATTATCATATTTAATTTGCAAGCAAAATGAGTTGTTTCTATTTTGCTGTGGTGTATTATGATCTTCTACAAATGGTATTTATACTATATAGCATTGTGATCTGGCACACAAAACTCCATGACAGTATCTTAAATTATTTCACACAAATAACTTTCATTATATGAGCTGTGTGGTGATGTAAGAAAATAATTAAGCAATTGCAAATATAGCTTAAATGTTTCTGAATGCCATTGGAAATATATTATGCTTATTTAATAACATGATATAAGTGCTTTCTAGTCTGTGTCATAAAGGAAATAAGTTACTCTTGGGGCCAGGGATTTAGCTCAGTGGTTCTGCCACCTGCCTCGGAAGTGCAAGGACTCAAGTTCGATCCCCGGTACAAAAAAAAAAAGTTACTCTCAATTTAATTCAAATTTAACTGTTGACTTAAATGTTGTCTACAAACTTCTAGATTCAATAGAATTCTTTGCCAACAAATAATGATAGCATAATT